TAGAAATTAAATACCAATGACCAAACACAAATGAAAAGATGTTCAAGGTCATTTATAATTAAAGAAACATAAAGTAAAACAATAATGTAATAATTTTTTTCACCTATCAAACTGACATTGACTAAAAAAATTTACTAATACACAGAGTTGGGAGGGGTGGAAGGAAATGAGCCTTCTCATACATTGTTGGTGGGAGCGTAAATTGGATCTGCCTCTTAGAGAGCAAACATAGTACTACATAATAGGTAATAAAGTGAGTACTCTTTTTTTTGGAGAGAGAATCTCACTCTGTCACCCAGCTGGAGTGCAGTGGCATAACCCACTGTATCCTTGAACACCTGGGCTGAAGCAATCCTCTTGCCTACACCTCCAGAGTAGCTGGGACTTCAGGTGCACACCACCACATATGGATAACTTTTTAATTTTTTTTTTTTTTTAGCAATGGGGTCTCCCTAGGTTGCCCAGACAAGTCTCAAGCTCCTAGTTTCAATTAATCCTCTTGCCTTGGTCTCCCAAAGTGCTAGAATTACAGGTGTGAGCCACCACTCCTAGTGACTCTCTGTTTCATTATTTCCAAATCCTAGGAATTTAATTCAAAAAACTTTATTTACACAATGTGAAAAGACATAAGACAACTCTGTTGACTTCAGCCTTTTTTTTCTAATTTTGAAAAACTGCTAACAACTTAAACGTTCATAAGCAGGTTAAATAAACTAAGCCACAGCCATAAAATTCAGTATAATGTAGTTATCCAAAAGAACGAAGTTGATCTGTGCACACTGGTGTTGAAAAGACATTCAGGACGTAATATTAAATGGGGACGGAAAAGCTAGATCAGTATAGTATATACAGAAAAAGTTTCTGTAAAGATATAGAAGAAACTGTTAACAATGAAACCTGCAGATTTGGGGGAAATTGGGACTTTTACTTTTTGCTTTATTTCTATGCTACTTGAATTTTTTTAAAAAAGGTCTGAACCTTCTAAATTAAAAAAAAAAAAACAACAACTAGGAATTAAAAAATCGTATTAGTAATGCTTTCATCTATGCTTCAGCTGTAAGGGAGAAAAGACCTAAGAGGGATAAGAAGAAAAAGAGGGTCAGGACCATCAGCCTCAAAGGTGAGTTCGGCACAGATACAATCTAGTAGAAGGCAGGCTGAGGGGGTTCCTTGCTCCAGTAAAGGTGCAGAGAGACTAACCCCACCTGATATCATCAGCAGTTTCACTGAAGAAATGGCATTTCTCAGAACTGGAGGATCTGTTACCATTACCTGACCCTTCCCCTCTTTTCCACACACTCACTTCTTTCTCTACATGCAAATGGGACAGCTGCCCTTTCTCTTGCAGCTTAATTATATCACTAAATATAATACCATGTCTTTAGTATAAAAAGAGATGCTGGGTGGTGCCTGTGGCTAGAAGGAGTAGGGTGCCAGCCCCTATGCCGGAGGTGGTGGCTTTAAACCCAGCCCCAGCCAAAAACTGCAAAAAAAAAAAAAAAGGAGAGAGATGTTAAGTAAACTTTTCAGTATTAAATACATTACCATAAACATTTCTTTGATTAACGTTGTATTTAAGGGTTGTTCCATCATGCCCACAAACTACTGAACTATCCCAAAAAATCCAGTAAATTTGCTTACAAGCTTTATTGTCTCAACTGTTTCTTACACACATAGATTTCACTGGTTTAGATTTTTGGTTTAGACAATAATATCACCCTAGAATAAACATAAAAAAATCCAGCCAAATCTATAATGGAAAGTACATGATAATCCAAGGATAAAAATCTAAGGACTGTCATTATTTTGTATGTTTTCTGTGTTTTTGTTTTAATTGTTTTTCATCTAAAACTGGTCCAGATGCAGATGGGGAGAGAGAGATGCTGCCCTTGATGGGGGGAAATGAAGAGCATGATGTTGCAGAACTTAAACCTAAAGGTTTAAGGTTTTTTTATATTTAGTCTTCACAAGCTTTTGACACACTTGGTTAGAATGCAAGTTTTACAATCAAAAAGACATGCACTTGAATCTGGGCTCTACAACTGCCCAGCAATCACCTTCAGCAATCATTTCATGTTTCTGACCTTCAGTTTCCTTCCTCACAGGTATAATTTTTCCCACAGAGTAACAGCCCAGGTAAGTCATCTAGAACATTGCCTGCCACAGAGCAAGCCATCAATAAATGATAGTTAAAGTAATCAGTATCATTATTATAAACCCTAACTGAATGCTAGTGAGGCAGGCATGAGTGTATCAAGCTACTCTGAGGACCCAGAAAGCATCAAGTAATTCTCTTTCTGCCATGCTTAAGAACAACCAGAATATATGATTTCAGTAATTATGACAGCTCTCAGAATAAGTTCGGTATAGTGGTTGAAAATGTATGCTCCAGAACAGAGACTTTTTTTTTTTTTTGCAGTTTTTGGCCGGGGCCAGGTTTGAACCCACCACCTCTGATATATGGGGCCCGTGCCCTGCTCCCTTGAGCCACAGGCACTGCCCCAGAACAGTGACTTTCAACTGGTACACCCTGAGAGGATCTTAGGTATGCCAAGAAAATTTTTAAATATTATTAAATTATTTTCAAAGGAAGTTCAAAGCAGAGTAACTACATTCTTTTTTTAACTCTTTTTTTTGGATCAACATAATTTAAGTATGCCGTGGAAGTTTAACTACAGGTTCAAGTGTGCCGTGAGATAAATAGGTTGAAAGACACTGCTCTAGAACCTATTCCAGAAACCCCACTTTATCACTTACTGTGAGAGTATAAAGATGTCCTTTCCTCAACCAAACAGAGCTAACAGTAGTCCTTCAAAGTAATTCTTGAGGGTCTTGCATTGGTTAAAATAAATGAGATAACCCATGAAATGCTCTTAGCATATTCCCTGTCAACAGTTAAATACTCCAAATTTTAACTATTAGACTGTCCATGAAAGTCCTGGCACTCCCAAGGGGTTACCAAAAGGAGTCTCAATAGCGATTTCAACACTAACACATGTATTTCAGATATATGTACGTTTTTATAAAGTCCAGTATGATTAATAAAATAATATTTACATTGAAAGTCCTACTTACAGTAGTTTTAAAACTATATGACAGGGATAATAGAGAGTATGTATATATGTAATATATGTAAGTAAATAAGTAACATATAAGTAAAAGTGTGCTCATTTGTCTATCATGGCCCCACCTCCCAGGTCCCAAGGCCACTTCTCAGGGGAAATCACTATAGTGGGCTCTCTTCTGAGTCTGTCTTTCAATATACAGTGTGGCCATAAAGTTCGTGTGCAATTAAAATAAACAACTTTATGGCCACCTTGTATACAAAATGTTGAGAAGATTTCTTACAAAATGGGGTATTCTATTATTTGTTTATTCAATAATATATCATGGATATCTTTCCATGTTGATGCACAAAATCCTAACATTCTTTTTAGCTGTTCACTGCTTCAAATTATGGATGTTATGATTTATTAATCCATTATAGGTATTTACTTTACTTCTTTCTACCATTAAAAATAATCCCACAGGCTTGGCACCGTAGTTCAGTGGTTAGCCACATACACCAAGGCAGGAGGGTCCAAACCCAGCCCAGGCTTGCTAAACAACAATGACAATTGCAACAAAAAAATAGCCAGGCGTTGTGGCAGGTGCCTGTAGTCCCAGCTACTTGGAAGGCAGAGGCAAGAGAATTGCTTAAGCCCAAGAGTTTGAGGTTGCTGAGAGCTATGATACCAGCACTCTACCAAGGTCAACATAATGAGACATTGTCTCAAAAAAATAAATAATTCCACAATGAACACTGCTTCAAAGGTATTCAACACACAGGCAGTTATTTCCTATTTTAGGAATAGCTTCCTAAAAGTGGATCTGCTAACTCAAAGGTTTACCAAATTTTACATGTTGGTAAGTACTGCCAAATTGTCCTCCAAAGAGGATGTACCCATTGTATTCTCTCAGTAACCATCTTCTTAAAAAACAGGAACAAAAAAGTATATATCATATGGAAACACTAAAACTTTTCTATATTGAAAAGTGGCCCTCATCTTCAAAAAAGGATGAGAGGGTGGTGCCTGTGGCTCAAGGAGTAAAGTGACGGCCCCATATGCCAGAGGTGGCGGGTTCAAACCCAGTCCCGGCCAAAAACTGCAAAAAAAAAAAAAAAAAGGATGAGAACCATAGCTCTAACAACCATTACTTTATCCTTCTTCGCATTTTAGCTGCTACGCTACTTATTAAAATCTCATCTTTTTTTTTTTTTTTTTTAGAGACAAGGTCTTGCTGTGTTGGCCAGGCTGGAGTGCAGTGGGGAGATCATAGCTCACAGCAGCCTCAAACTCCTGGGCTCAAGCAATCTTCCTGCCTCAGTGCTGGGATTACAGATGGAAGCCCAATCACCTGGCCTAACCTCTAATTTTAATAGTACTCAGACCATGACCTCCCCAACAATGACACAGTTCAGGTCAAAACCAGTTTTCCAGTCCCCAAGCCATCCCAGCCCTGTCCTCGAGCCAACAGTGGGGAGAAAGGAAGGACTAAAGACCTGAAGTATTTGTATCATCACCTAGCAATCCCGCCAAGCCCAACTAAAACAGAATTATTCCACGCAATTCTCATGTAAAAGCGCTATTTCGTTGCTATGTTTAAAGCAGCAATAGGTTAAAATCTCTTTATCAATAATCATTGGCCTACAGGTAGTTTACACGTTTCATTTTGTCTCATAATATTATTACAGTGAAGAACAAGAGCAAGTAAAGGTCACGTTGGTAATTAAAGCTATATTGTAGAAATATGCTCACCCAAGATATGATTAAATAAGAAAATATTACTTGGTTCAGTATCATCATTAAACTTGTATTAATTTATAAATATTTAAATGTACCATATGATAATCATAAATAATCTGTTTTTGTCAGTTTCTAAAGTAATGCAACTCATAAACCCTTTTAAAAAATTACTGCAGAAAGAAACAGTCAAGAAAGTCTACAAGCCAGACTTACATTCAAATGCTGTAGTTGTTGCTTCGGGCAGAACCTGGCCTATCACATCCTAAACAAAGAAAGAATAAAGAAACACAATTAGCCATCTTCTTTATTGCTAACATGTGGCAATTCCTAGAGGAAATATGAGAACCTGGGGGAGACTTTTGAAATGTTGGCATAAACTACAAAAACATTAGCTCATAATCACACTTAGCCCAGCAATGTAAACCCAAAGTTTAAATCTCTATTCCAGAGAGAAAATCTTTTGGAAACCTTTTCTACTCTGTACCTATAAGACACAATCTTTTACTCTCAATTCAGCAGTGCATACAGAAATACACGTTGTGTATTTACAAAAAGCTGGTTTCTTCTATGACAGCCTGGGGAATACACTGCAAGGGGTTTGAGAGTCAGAATGACCTAGGTTTGAATCTCAGCTCTGCATTTATTATGAGATGTATGACTTGGAAAAATATCTCTTCACCTCTCTAAGCCTCATTTGACTTATCCTCCAATATGGGTAATACAGAGGTAATGTAAAAATTAGTGTAATAAACATAAGCTTAGACACTGTAGACATTCAACAAATGTTCTGATATATGTCAACCAATACCGAGCCTTACATTCCTAATAGTAGGAGTTCAACATACAAATTTTCCTGATGCCGACACAAACCCATAATGCTACTTTTAATTCAAACAACTTTTATCAACCTTCATTCTTAAGCAATACAAAACATACTTAACAATACCAAAATAAAGTTAATCGAGCCTACCAAATAAGCCCTTTAGCGTGTATGTGATATCAATGTTTGAATGGATCTATAGGGTGTTCCAGAAGTGCCCCCCAAATTGTCATAAATACGGAAAATGTAAAAGGTAAAGGTACCTTTATTTACAAAATATGCATTACAAAATTACACAAAGAAGTGGCCAATACGTAAATATTCTGTGAAATTTTATAATGCATATTTTGTAAATAAAGGTACCTTTAGCTACAATTTCCCATTTTCCCTACATATGGCAACTCCAGAGGCGACTTTTGGGATACCCTATATAAAGTTGAAAACATTTGAAAATGAGTCTAGCGACAAGCTTAACTGAAGAGGCACAGTACACCTCAGTTCTGGGGAAAGTGACCCTCCACTATGTCCAGTCCAACCCGAATGGCCTGTAAACCTCATTTCTCTCTGGGAGCTCTGCCACAACATCCCTCCCAGGCTGAGCAAGAACTGGCACGAGGCAGCCGGCTGACAAAGTCACTTGCAATATTTCTCAGCAGGGAGCCCACAGCCCTTCTAAGCAGAGCACTTAGCAGAGTGGCGGCTGCAACTTCCTTCTAAAGGCAATTCTTCAGAAGCTTTTGCTGCAGTGGCAATTTGCATAATAGTCTTGCCTCTACAGTGCTTTCTTTTTTTTCAAAAATAAATCTGTGCATATAAAATTGATCAAAGAGAACCATCTCAGGCAGCCCTTGCTCATTAGAGCCAAAGAGATTACTTTTTTCTCAGACTCTAGTCTTAGTAAATGAAACATCAACTTTTTGAGGAAGTATTAAAAAAATTCTTTCCACACACTCCTAGGTAGAAAGTACTTATTGATAGAAAGTTATAGAGTGAATATGGAATAAAGTCCCCAGGCAGTCCAGTGTAAAGCCTGAAAGCATGGAATCTGGAGCCCAACTGTCAGGGCCAGAGGCTGGCTCTGCCTCTCTCAGCTGAGTGAACCAATGTCTCTATGCCTCAGTTTCCTTACATGTAAAATGAGATTGTAACTGTACCTACTTTTTAGGACTAAATGAGTTAATATCTGTAAAGTGTACAGAAGACTGTCTACTGCAAAATGCCATATTAGTACCTACTAAATAAATAAAACAAATCACTGGCTGGGCATAGCAGTTCTCAACCTGTAATCCCAGCACGTGGGGAGGCTGAGGCAGGAGGATCAGTTGGGGCTAGGACTATGAGGCTCCAGTGAGCTATGATGTCACTACTGCACTTCAGCCTAGGTGCAACAAGATCCTGTCTCAAAACAACAATCAAATAAACAAATTATTTCATTAGTATTATTCAGAATTATATTCAGAAATATTATATATTATATATATTATATTCAGAAATATTATTCAGAATTATATTCAGAAATATAATTTTTAAAAAATTAAATCAGAAAAAAAGGTGGGGACTACCCCCTATCCCCTACCCTTTAAGTCTAGGTTATCACTAGTTAATTCCAGGGAACTCTGAGTACTGTGACAATCAATCTTGAAATGTAAACTCTAGAGTATTAGCAAATTAATTTAGGATCCTTCCTATACATAAGATACGGGGAAAAGGAGAAAGAAAAAAGCAAGCTTGCTTGAGAGAACCATGTGAACATAACCATATTATTTCTTTAAAGATAACAAAGTGGGGCTACCATAATGACAAAAGGTAAGAAGTGCCAAAATTAGTCAATATCTACTAGTATTTTTTTTTTGAGACCGGCTCACTCTTTCTCAAGGGCTAGAGTGCCACGGCCTCAACCTAGCTCACAGCAACCTCAAACTCCTAAGCTCAAGCAATACTCCTCCCTCAGCCTCCCGACTATCTGGGCCTACAGGTGTCCACCACAACACCAGGTTAATTTTCCTACTTTTAGTAGAAATGGGGTCTCACTCTTGCTCAGGCTGGTCTCGAACTCCTGAGCTCAAGCAATCCCTCACCTCAACCTCCCAGAGTGCTAAGAGTACAGGTGTGAACCACCATGTCCAGCCTCTGCTAGTGATTTTTTTAAGTAGGGTACATTTAATGATTTTATGTAATATTTTAAGTAACTCATATCCAAGTGATCATCTCCTATCTTCAAGAACATAACCATTTTACCTAATCTGAAGGTTTCAAAAGAAAAACTAAGTTTACATATCTTTTTTTTTAAGTTTATATATCTTAATGATGATTGTTTCTTGATTCTTTTCTTCTCCTTCCTTTCAATAGGCTAAAGGAAAACAAAAAGGACTTAGTCCTTGATTTTAGACAAACCTAAAACATTAATAATCTAAAGCTGTTATAGTATAAGAGCCGAACAAAATAACATAAATAGCAAATAGTATTTGCTAACTCAAGAGGAAGGAAAAATCAAAGGCTCACTTTAGACAGAAATTCCATAGACAAGGGGAAATCTGAGCTGGGACTGAGACTACAGAATACAAAGAGCAGAGAAAAGAGGGTTGAACATTCTTCTAACCTCTTGCAGTTTTCCCAGAACTAGGGACTGGTTCTCCAGGGAAAAAGAGAAACACAGAAAGCTGCAAAACCAATAAAAAAGATAATCCAAATGTCTCTACCCTTGAGGACCTGGTAGGCCCCCTTCACACTGCAGCCAGTCCCAGAGGATTGAAACAAAAGACAAGGCCCAGCCTCTCTGGGTGACTTACCCAAAGTCTCCCAGCTATTTGATGTAGCAGTAACTGGAGCCCTCAATACTGACTTCAAGTTCAAACCACTCAGTTACACTTGACTCTGTGATTACACCTGCTTCTGGCTTCAGTGTCAGGTTTGCCACAGATTAGCTGTGTGGCTTTAGCCAGGCATTTTTGCCTTTTGGGGTTCATGCCTCCTCACCTGAAATAAGTCAGAATTAGATGAAGGGGATGCTTCCAGGTTTTACATGACTTTAAAGTTTAAGGTTCCAACCCAGAGATACTGATATATCTGTTGCTTCTTGTCTTTTTCTAACGAAGAGATGAAGTGAACCTGGAGAAAAGATGAAAGGAGTCCACCGCCATCTGGGCTCAAATTCGCAGAACTTGCTACAAAGGACACAGCACAGCACCCATTCCCACAAGCCCTTCATCAGGCCTTCCGGACAAAACATGCTCCACCAGAGCAAAATATGCAAACACATGGCACACTGAACTCTAGTGGTGGGGCCATTTCTGCACTGTTTACTTTTAGGCCAAGAAGCCTCGGGCCAGATACAACTAAGAGATGCTCAAGAAGCAAAAGACCAAGGTCCTGTCCCTTATGTTGTAATAATACCAATAATAACACTTACACAGCATGAAATGCTTCACATGTATTGGCTCAAGCAATCCTCAAACTGTATGAGGTAGGCACTATTTTTATCTCCTCCTTCCCTTTTTTTAACAAATGAAGAAACTGAGACACAGAGGACACTTCCCTAAGTGGTAGGACTTGTGATTTAAACCCAGATAGTCTTGGCTGCAGGGTTTGTGGTCTCAAAATACTAATCTACTTAAAATAATACTTTCTGTTGTTTCAAATGACTAAGCGAGAAAGCTCATCTTTCTCATCATAGACACAATCTCACTCAACCTTCACAAGTTTGGGGGGCAGGTGTGAATATTCCTATTATACAATAGAAAACTGAGGCTGGAGCGACTTGCCTAGTTACTGGGACAGCTTACAATCAGACTCAAATTTCTTGACTCAAAACCTAGTGCTCTCATTGAAGGAGATGTTTCTGAATCTGCTCTCCCTTACAGTCACAGGTGCCTTTAAGGCAGGCCCTCTTCTAGAAGCTGGTCTTCTCTGCAGGCCCCAGTGGAGGCCTTTATTGCATCCCACTCACTTTATGTATATTTGAAAATCTCACAAGCACTTGTCTTCCTAATTGCCAGTGCTGCTTGGATAAACTGTCACTAATCCTCACCATCTTGTATTCTGTCTTTTTTTTCCATCTCTTATTTTTCACATTTCTCGTAGGAAAGGTCACTTTACTTCGTCACTATTCAATTGAACAGTTCCCAAATTCCTTCTCAAACACATGCAAGAAAGATGTGCATTTTGATGAATTTTAGTAATTTGGATCATCTGGAGAACTAATGTAATCTATTTTCTATCTCTGGAACTTTTTCTTCAAGATATACTGTCACACATTTGAATCTGATGTTAAATTGAAGTTATATGAAATTTTTCCACTTACAAGATTTGGGTACTTTCTGTTGTAAAAAAAAAAACAAAAAAACAAAAACCTAGTGCTCTGTCTACAGAACCAAAACTGCACACATCTTCTTTTAACCTTGCTCTTTAAACAAGTGTTTCAGGGTCCTATGAAGCAACAGAAAGAGGGAAACCAGATATCCATCTCCTCCAGAAGTTTATCACCTAGTGGAGGAGACAGCAAATTATGACCAAGCCAGGGTGCCTTGCTGGGGTAACCACAGCAAACTGTGGGAACACAGAGATGGGGCACATACTAACATACACAGGTGGGAATTGGCCAGCTGAAGAAATGGGCAGAATGGCAACAGCCTCAGCACCTGGAAAAATCAAAGTAATTCTACATACTTGGAGCACAGGACATGCACGGGGGTGTGGTGAGAGAGGAAGCTGGTGCCAGGCAGGCAAGAACCAATCAAGATGTGCCCCGAGGATCACACCAAGATTGAACCTCATCATGAGAGGAAATCTATGTGCATGTGAGCTTGTGCAGAGCTCTGAATGCAAAGAGAAGGAGCTGTTTGGTGCATGAGATTGGAGGCTGCTGGCTCACTACAGCCTCCACATCCCTGACCTAGGTAGGCACTTGAACATATGCACCGCCCGGGGGGGGGGGGGTCGTCAGTAATGGCCAGAACTCAAAATGAAATTATAGAAATCAACTGTTTTGAATTGAGTCACCCAAGATAATCAAAAATTACATCACAAACTTTCCTTCTCCCATGAACCTTTCACTCACCCCCCTCTTTATCTTACAGGTAAGTTCCATCTCAAATCTGCTACTTGCAGGGTGCTCCTTTGTATATCATGTCAGTTTCTGCCTTCCAGGCCTCTGTCTTTCAGTGTATAAAATGGATACAATGTACCCTACCCTGTCTACCTCAAATGAATACTAGAGAGATGGGCTTAGTTGCAGCATGGCAGGAGGAGGGGAATTACTCAGTAAAAGTAAGGAAATTTACGTTCTGGTAGTGACTGTCCCATTCAGTAGCTACACAGCTTTGGAAAAGTCACCTCACCACCCTGCTCCTCAGTAACTATTTGCAAAAAAGATACATGGGCTGAACAGTCCCTCTACATGCCATAATTTTATTTATGCCTCTAACAGTCCGTGATTTTATTTCAAATATATTCTGAGTATCCTGAAGTATAACCGATTCTAAGATGCACATTTTCCCTCTATTTTAATATCTACGAAATTTGGCTGATTTTGTACAACGGATGGTGATGGTATATCATAGTTTAACAAGCAGTTTTTTTCTTTCTGAGTGGTAAGACATCTTACACTCAATGATGCTTAAATTTGCTCAAACATGGTAAATTAAAGTTGCCCTTGCTTCTTTTGCCTGACTGGCCACCAAGTTCAGAGAACTTAGTAGACAGACATGGCTGGAATCTGGCCAGGGACATTCCCTGAACTTAGGAAAAATGTCTTCTAGACAGTTTTTTGCACCTCAGCTAGTTGCTTCTGTGTGTATGTCCCAGTCCAGGCTGTGAGCTCCCTGAGGGCAGGGGTTCAGTCTGATTCAACTATTTCCCCAGAACCCTGCACTTTTGCCAAGTTAAAGTTGATGCAATTAATCAGAGCTGTGGTCTGAAGCAAAAAAACTGCCACTGCTGGCGGCACCTGTGGCTCAAAGGAGTGGGGCGCCGGCCCCATATGCAGGAGGTGGCGGGTTCACACACAGCCCCGGCCAAAACAAAGAAAAAACACTGCCACTGCCACTAATTTGGGCCACTAGTAGTCAAGCTGCTGAAAATTACCCAAGGCCCTGAGCCCTCCCATTCGGAGATTCGGACACTGAGATTTGAGATTACCACTCACCAGCACATCCCTGAAGAGTAACTGCGGCCCGGAGTGCACTGTCCAGTCCACTGCCCCACTATTTGGAATCTTGATGCGAATCACCAGCACCTGGTTCTCCATGGCATGGAAGGGGCCAAGGGTCAGCCAGAGCATTACAGGTTAAAGGGCTCACATCTTGGAGTAGGGGGTATCCGCTGGCCTCTGGTTAGGCAGGGACTTCAAGAGGTGACAAAAGGAGTGAGGGGCAGAGAACAGAAGGTGAAAACAGGGGACCGGAGGGTGTTTTAAAAAGAGGAGGGGTGACCAGGCAGGGGCCCGCAGGTACCGAGCCAGACTCAGGGTGCACGCGGTCTGGGGGTGTCTCCCGGTGAGGGTGCACCGGGAAGGGGACAGGGGCCAGCAGGAACTAGCGGAGGTCAGAAGGTGCTGGAGTTGGAAAGGAAGACAAACGGTGTAACCAAGCTCTCTGCTGTCCGTGTGTGAGGAGACGGCAGAGCAAGGACGCGGTTAGGGGGAAATACAGCGGCAAAAAGAGGGCCCCCGACTGGACGGGACTCAGCCTCCGGTGATTAGGAAGGAGGAGACCCAGGGCCGCCAGTCCTTGAGGAAGCGGAGGGGACCCTCCGTGAGAGAGTCAGGGACAAGTCTGCCCCACCCGGAAACGAAGGGAGCGGCGTGCGCACGCTCAGCCCTGGGCACGGCGCGTCCCGCCGGCGGCGGCTAGAGCGGCGGCCGCGGCGGCGAGAGGAGGAAGGCGGCAGCGAAGGCGCTGTTACTCCGGAACCAAAACGCGCGGCGCCGGAACCCCGGGAGCCGACGAGCGGGACCCGCCTCCCGCGGCGCCATATTGGAAGAGGGCAGCTCCCGGCGGGCGGGACCCGGGAAGCCTCGCGTGGCGCCGGCCAAGCCTGGCAGCGGGGCAGCGGGTCGTGCGGCCCCGGGCGTCCTCTGTGCGGGCGAGCACCTACGGCGCCTGGGTGGCCGGCCTCCCTGACCGACCCCGTTTATAGACAGCAACACATCTGACACACGCAGGACAAAACTGACCGGACGGCAGTCCGCCGAAAGCCAATTTAGGGCTTCGCGTTGCGTACTGTCCCCCTCTACGAGAGCCTCCGATTAAGACAGGACTTCAGCTCCCGTTTGTCCCTAGTTTTTCAAGCCGTGCCCTGAATTTTCACGGGGTTTTGTGCATCAAATCAGCAAGAGAAAGACAAGAATTCAAAAAAATATTCTTTTTTTTCTCCCAAGTCACAGGTCCGGGGGATCAGCATCTTTCTCCCACCTTAGCCAAACGTATATAAATTTTTCCGTGAGATTCTTTACCTCACGAATGCCCTAAAGTGGAAAACAGTCCCCTATTCAAAAGCAATAGTAAAGAAATTAAGTAAAGAATTTAACTGCCTGGGGACAGCTGCAGTAGTGGCAACATTATCACTCATTAAACTATTGCAAAAATATTCGGGCTGGTCCATATATTTTCAACTAAATTGCCATGCTTACGCAGTTGGTGATATCATGGCAGCAGCGCAAAACCTTGGTTATTTTTAAATGCTTTGTTACCTCAGATTTTAAAATGCATGATCTTCTCGGTCTTCTTTGGTGCTTACAGAGAAGTTCGTTTACAAATTGCAGGCAGTTGGGTTCGTCCTTCATCTGTTCCTAATAAAGGGGCAAGTGTCGCCTTAATTTGGGGGGTTTGAATTCTGTGGAGGAGGGGTGTCAGTTTCCCTTCTATCTGTTGATTAAGACGAGAGAAAAAATGATTTAAATGTTGGTCAATTTCCGTATAATATCAGAATTTTTTCTGCATAATTTTCTCTGCCTGAGTTTCTTTTAGACTTAATTTGAAAGGCCATTGAAGTTATTGTAAATTAATAGCTTAGGTAGGCATTCATTTAGTCAGATCCTCCACACATTCTAGGAATTGCTCTTTCCACCTGCCCTTCAATCCTGTGAAAAACTGTTCCTCCAAGGTCCCCATGTACTTTTTATTCAAAGTTCATTTCCTATTATTGGAGAAAATAGATCATAAAACTAGAGATTCATATGAACCTATGATTTGTTAAAATGTCCCTTTTATTCATAGTACCATAGGGAAAACCAACTCAATTTACCAAATTTGCATACTCATTCTGAAGCTTTTCTTACACTAATGGCAAACTCATAACTCTTCCCAATATTTGCAGAGCCAATATAATTACACTTCAGCTCTTCACAGCCTTTATGTAGTAAGAAAGCTTAACTTTGATGACTTGAGCATGGATTTTCCAGAAAACTCTAACCCTCATGTGCAAGAAACATCATAATCATAGGTGATAAAAAAACATTCCATTTGATATCATGAATAACAAAATAAAACTTTTTGATCTCTTTACCAAGTAAAGCTTAATTGTCTAATTTCAAGGAATATTTAATATTCAACATTGAAGTTGTAATCTTAAGCCTTTAGCACATAGTACTTTTTTTTTTTACGGATAGAAGTCAGGATAGTCACTCAGGCATTGGCTGAGGTAGTTTATTAGCCATAATCCAGATTTGCCGTAGTAAAAAAACTGTGCTTATTTATATTCTTCCTAATTGAAGGACTCCTCATCAGTATAATAGAAAATCCCTCCTATCATAAAGTGGTATTCTAATGGGGGGAGACAGACCAATGAGTAAAATATACGTTAAATAGTAGCAAATCTAGAAAAGTGAACCCTGAGGGGAAAATGAAGACAATGCAGTTCATCGGGGTAATAACATTAAGGAATATTAAAACTGCTCCAAAGAGACACGTTCCTGGAACATTAGGTGTCTGGTCATCTTTTTACACTTTTTTAGTTTTAGTTTTGATAAAATACACATAAAAAATTTGCCATCTTTTCCATTTTTAAGTGTGCAGATGGTTACTGTTAAGTATATTCACAATTCGTATAACTGGTCTCCACATTTTCATCTTGCAAAACTGAAACTCTGTATTCATGAAACAACTGTTCACTTCCGCTTTCCTCCAGCCCCTGACAACCAACATTCAGCTTTCTGTTTCTATGAGTTTGTCTACTCTAGCTACTTCATGTAAGTGCAATTATTCAATATTTGCCTTTTTGTGATGGGCTTATTTCACTTAGCATAGTGTCCTCAGGGGTCATTCATGTTGTAATGTGTCAGCGTCTCCTTTCTTTTTAACGCTGAACAAAATTCTGTTGTATGTATTTACCACATTGTGTTTATCCATTCATCCACTGTTGGACATTTGGGTTGCTTCCACCTTTTGGCTATTGTGAATAATGCTTCTGTGGACATTGGTGTACAAATATCTGTTTCTGTCCCTGCTTACAATTCTTTTAGATACATACTCAAGAGTGGAATTGCGGGGTCATATTTTTTATGTTTAATTTTTTTGAGGAACTACCATACTGTTTTAATAGTGGATATGAGTCATTTCCACCAAAAGTGCATAAGGGTTTCCAATTTCTTCGTATCTTCATAAACACTTGTTATTTTCTGTATTATAGTAGCCATTCTATTGGGTATGAAATGATACAGGATTATGGGTTTGTTTGTTTGTTTGTTTTTGAGACAGAGTCTCAGTTTGTTGCCCTGAGTTGGTAGAGTGCTGTGTCGTCATAGCTCACAGCAACCTCAAACTCTTGGGTTTAAGTGATCCTCTTGCCTCAGCCTTCAGAGTAGCTGGGACTACAGGCACCCACCACAACGCGTAGCTATTTTTAGAACCAGGGTCTCACTCTTGCTCAGGCTGGTCTCAAACCCATGAGCTCAAGCAATCCACCCTCCTTGGCCTCCCAGAGTGCTAGGATTACAGGCGTGAGCCACCACACCCAGCCCATCATTGTGGTTTTAATTTATTGCTTTCATGATTAATGATGTTGCACATCTTTTCACATCTTTTTAGCCATTGGTATAGCATGTTTGGAGAAATATCAGTTGAAGTCTTTTGGCCATTTTTTAATCAAGTTATTTGGTTGTAAAAGTTTTTCTAATGAGGAAAATCACATTTTGCTATTATAAATTTGGGGAGATTTTCTTCATTTCCTCATGACCTTGCTCTGTCTGAAATCATTAACCCAGAATCTGAGTCCTTCCCAGCACCTTCACTGCTCGTACCCTACTCTACTATTCTTTCCTAATCTTCTGTTTTCACTCTTGCTCTTATGAGTAGTCTATTCTCAACCCAATGGCCAAAGTTGAATCAGGTCACTTGTTTGATTAAAACTCTCCAGTTGGGTTCCTGTCTTATACAGCAGGGGAAAGGCCAAAGTCTTTTCCTTGGCCTACAAAACTCTACACATTCTGTCCCCCATCCCTTCTGAAGTCTTGAACCTTATTTCCTGCTACTCTTCCTCTCTCATACCAGCCTCCTTCTCACCGTTCCTTGAACAAGGCAGGCATTCCACCCCAGGGCCTTTGCATTTGCCATTTTCTCTGCTTGGATTGCTCTTACCCTAGATATCTGCATGGCTCATTCCCTCATGTTCCGGTCTTGGCTAAAATCACCTTCTTGCCAAGGTCTTCCCTCTATTGAGATTGCAAACCAATCCTGAACTACCCATAGATACACGCATGAAGGTGTGCAGGATTCCTAATCCCCTCCTAGTTTGTTTTCCTCCTGGCACTTACCACTATTTAACATAGCACAAATATTACTCGTCTATCTGTCTGTCTCTCCACTAGACTAAAACTTCACGAGGGGAGGGAATTGTGTGTTTTGTTTATTTTCACATCCATAGTATCTAAGAGAATACCTGGCATGTAACAGGCACTTTAATAATATTTGTTGAATGAGTGAGTTTTGAGGGCAGTATAGATTGAGCAATAGCAATGCAGCTTCTACATGACTCTCCTGCCTGCTTTGAGCATCACCTGTTTCTTTGCCTTCCCACCACCACTACCACCACCACTAAGCCTGAGATAGTAACAATTATAGACTCTCATTAAACACTACATTTTATAAATAACATTGATTGCCTCCTATGTTCAAGAAATCTACTTGTTTCCTTCAGAGCCTAGTATGGGCCCTTGCATATAACACTCCAATATTTGTGGATTAATTTTGATTTAAAAGAATATGAAGAGAATACAAAATAGAAGAACTTTGCAGAGGAAAAAAACCTGGCAGAAGGCCAGGCAAGGTGGCTCACACCTGTAATCCGAGCATTCTGGGAGGCCAAGGTGGGTGGATTGCCTGAGATCACAGTTCAAGACCAGCCTGAGCCATATTGAGACTTCATCTCTAAAAATAGCCAGGTGTTGTGATGGGCACCTGTAGTCCCCAGCTACTGGGAAGGCTGAAGCAGAGGATTGCTTCAGCCCAAGAGTTTGAGGTTGCTGTGAACTATGATGCCATGGCATTTTACCCAGGGTGACAGAGTGAGACTGTCTCAAAAAAAGAAAAGAAAAAGAAAACCTGGCAGACAAGCAATTAAGTTTAACATCACCAATAATAAATGTTGACATCATATACTCACTGACGTGATGCAGTAAGAAGCCCACTTGACTTCTGAGGCGTTCTTCCTCAAAATGCATACCCCCAATCTAATCATCAGACAAACTCAAATCGACAGACATCCTACAAAATACCTCAAAAGTGCTCCTCAAAACTGTTCAGGCCATAAGGAAACAAGGGAAGCCTGAAAACTGTCACAGACCAGAGGAGACTGAGGAGACATGATGA